GTGAGAGAGAGAGAGAGAGAGAGAGAGAGAGAGAGAGAGAGAGAGAGAGAGAGTGTTTCTAAGACAGGGTTTCTTAAAACCTAGCAGTCCTGTAACTTGCTGTAGACCAGACTGGTCTTGGACTCAGAGTTCCACCTGCCTCTGGCTCCCGAGTGCTGGGACTAATGGTGTGCACCACCATGCCCAACCAACCCTCCAGTTCTATTAACACAGGGAGAAACCAGGCAAAACATGAAAAGCACACAGAACTTTCTTCTATTGTGTTTAAAAAGTATTATTAGTCTATAATTACTTCAAGATAAAAAAAGGCTTATAAAAAGAACTGAAAAATCAAAATTCAAAACTCTTAAGCTGCAAAGGCTGGAGAGACAGTTCAGTGGTTTAAAGCACCTGCTGCTCTTGACACGGATCTGAGTTTGGCTCCCAGCACCTATGTGGTGGCTGATAACCGTCCTTACCTCCAGTTCCAAGGGATCTGATGCCCTCTTCTGGTTCTGTGGGCACCAGGCATACATGCAATACATTTATACATGCAGGCTAAACACACATACATATGATGTAAGGATAAATAAATCCTTAAAAGAAAAAATCTAACCTGAAATTCTCAGAAAGTACTTCTTAGATGTAGCGGGAATCTTAAAAGGTCTAATTAATAAAATGAAACCTTGGGTCAGGTATTGGGGTGAATGCTGGAAGATCAGAAGCAGAACAAGCCACAGCTTCCTCACCTCACCAATTCCTCAACTGGTCCTGTTTCCTCAGACTGGAAGCCCCTGAGTCCTCATCCAGAATGGGTCTCAGCTGAACGGTGCTGCTCAAAGCCTAAAAGCTTAACCAGCCAAATGCTTCTAGTTTCTGGTCTTCACGCCTTATATACCTTTCTGCTTTCTGCCATCACTCCCTGGGATTAAAGGCTCACCAAGTCTGGCTGTTTCCAATGTGGCCTTGAACTTAGGTTTCCGGATGGATCTCTGCCTCTGGAATGCTAGTATTAAAGGTGTGAGTGCCACCATTTTCTAGCCTTTGTATCTAGTGGCTGTTCTGTCTCTGACCCCAGATAAGTTTATTAAGGTGCACAATATTTTGGGGAACACAATACCACCACACACACACACACCAATTAAATGAACCAATTACGTTCATTTTATACAGTAATTCACTCCATTTCACACAATCAGATACCGGGATCTTACATGCCATCACTCAGCACCTGAGGATGCTCTGTCGATTACACTGGTGTCCACATATGATTTAATCCTCACAAATCTTCCTCAAATCTGAAGGAGCTCCCACAACGGCAGCACATTAGCCAGTCAAGGTCATCTGAGGTATGATTACTGCTAATTAAAAATTAAACGATCCTCTCTTCAACACAAAATACGCACCAGGGTCTCCCAGAGTACGGATCAGAACTCTCCGAGCCAGCCATTAGCCATTAAGGCTGTGCAGAACAGCTCCCGTCTTCCTCCACACACCCCAGGGCCGTGCTGGCTCCGCCAAGTTCTTTGTGCCAAGTTCTGCTGTGGGCGCCATGGGCCCTGGCCCCCGACTGGGAGTGGCTGCGGCCTTGCTTGCTTGACCTTGATCAGATGTCCTCCCTATTCGGATTCCCTGCCGGTATCCACCCTTCTGAATGCTTGAGGGAAGTTCCTTGTTGTGTATCCTGCATTTTGGGCGTTAACTAACATTGAGTCTGGAATGTAGACCATTGACAGCGAACTTCTGCCCTCCAGGGGTTCCTCCATTTGTGCTGTAAGCCTGTACGTATTTAAGGTTTCTCCCCTCTTTCAATAAACGGCATTCGACATCCAAACGTACGAATGACTCGCTGTCTCTTGTCTCTATTTTTTAATCCGCAGCCCTTCACCCAGACGTGGTGAACGGTTAGCGGTAACGCGGGCGTTACCGCTACATTCTGCCTCCCCTTTCTGATAGTTTCTCATTGTATTCTAGCCAGGCCTTGAATTCACAATCCTCCTCACTCCCAAGGGCTAGCAGGGCAGGTGTGTGCCACAACACTGGCTTGAAATCTTGTACTTGTCCAGTTATCTGTGACCTCAGACTATGTCTCACTGAACGTTTTTGAAAGCACAAAGTGTGGCAGTTTGAATAAGAACAGCACCCATAAGTTCACTTGAACACTCGGTCATGGGGAGCAGCACTGTTTATTAGTCAGGGATTAGGAGTTGTGGCTCTGCTGGAGTGGGTGTGGCCTTGTTGGAGGAAGTGTGTCACTGGGGGTGGGCTTTGGGGTTTCAAAAGCTCAAGCCAGGCCCAGTGTCTTTCTTCCCAGTGCCCGCCGATCCAGATGTTCAACTCTTTGGTTACCTGTCCAGCACCATGTCTGCCTGTGCTTCCCGCTGTTATGCCTAGATCTCGGGGACCCCCAAAAGACCACCACAGAGACCGAATCCCACATGTAAAAGCAAAGAGCCTTTATTTCAAACTCCGGAGCTTGGTCTCTCTGTCTGTCCGACGCAGCGGTGAGAGCAGAGCCCTGAGCTCAGGTGGGGCAGAGTTTTAATCACAGCAGAGGTTGGGGTGAGGGGATTTCCAGGGTCCAGGACCCTGATTGGCTGACAATTGTCTAGGGGTATCTGTAAAACAAACAATAAGTGTGTGCTAGACTCAAGGACATCTGGCCACCTTTTCTAATGGTTGGAATGTTGGGATGTCAGGTACTTCCTCACCCCTGGGTGGATCCCTGGGTGGTATCAGCTTAAGGCTTTTCCTGGATCTGGGTGTTGCCTGCCAGTAAGCCTGTCCCAGAAGCTGTGTCTAGGCCCCTAAGCCTGTCATGGCTGCTGTGTGGTCCAGCTATTTTGGGCCCCTTCACACCGCCATGACAATAACGGACTGAATCTCTGAACTGTGAGCCAGCCCCAATTAAATGTCTTCCTTTATAAGGGTTGCCATGGTCATGGGGTCTCTTCATAGCAATAGAACACTGACTGAGACACAAACAAAAGAGACCATAACAATTTGTTTACAGTCAGCTACTCATCAGGAGACTATGCAAATTAGCAGTCAGAACTGTAGCTCTAACGTTAATATCCTGGATAAACACCTCCAAGTGTGTGGGTGAAAAATGGGTTGGTTAAGAAAGAGGTTTTCAAGCCGATAGGCTTTAGACCCAGGGGCACAACCCGTGCCCCCATACCTCCACCCACTGCAGCCCCAGGTGCAGGCCAGCCAGCTCGACTCCTGCAGGCAGGCCTGACCCCCACCCCCACCCCCACCAGACCCTGTAACCCACAGGCCCCACTCCACCGCCCAAACCCCCCCATCCCCCCCACCCCACCCCACTCCCACCCCTGAGACCAAAGCTGCCCCCTGAGACACAGACTCCACCAGCTCCGACTGGACCAAGAGAGCCTTCATCCAGTAACT